CTGGCATTACATGTTTATTTATTCCCTGATATATCCATGGTGCGTTAGGGACAAACTGACATTTTGATAGGTCTTAAATATTTGCTTAATGATAGCAACTACATAAATTCCAAACATTCTATATCAATTTCTAAGTTGCAAAACATTACTTACCTAAGTTCTTCAGGTTTTGTAGCACATGCTAACAGAAGAAAAAAGATAACACCTCATTAGTTTCATCTTACATGATAAACTGCTGCACTATTCAAAGCAAAACCTGAATTGCTTTATAAGCCATGTTTCACAACCACACATTTCTTTCTTTGAGAAAGGGTCTTCATGTTTTGTAGAGACAGGGGTGGGTCTCACTACTGTTGCTCAGGCTGGTCTCGAACTCCTGAGAGTTGAGCTTCTGGGCTCAAGCAATTCTCTCACGCTGGCCTCCCAAAGTGCTGGGATTAATGGTGTGAGCCACCACATTTGGCCCCAACCATAAATCTAAAAACCTTCAATTCACCAAAGTGTCTTGGGGTTCACACCATAAAGTCAACAATGGCAATTATTTTCATTTTTCAAATAAAGCAACAGAATGCATATATATCTCCACCTTTTAAACAGAACCAATCTAAACAGAACCGATCTGTAAGCCTCCAGAGTGAGCTGACAGATTATGAATTATCATCAGTGGAAACCAAGAGGAAACTTAGGGTTTTAAAATCATCACAATTCATTTATAGCTGTATATTTAATTTATAGCCACACCAAAACTTATGAGTATAAATCATTTTTATAAAAAAGTCAATACTGCCAAACATCAGATCATTACAGTTGTTTTTGGACAACTCGTGATGACTCTGACAGTGGAAATACTTAAAATTAAATTTGCATTTTAATGCAAATTCAGCTTAAAACCAAACACAAGGTTTAATTTATTTGTCAAGGTAAACAATGCTTTTTCTTATATAATCGATCTTAATCAGCAAGTAACAATCATGAATTAGGAAATGTCTATGTGTAACAATGATGAATATATTTTAAAATAGTATTTAATAGAATCCTTAATATTATAATACAATATGAAATAAATTTTACTTAAAAAAATTCATCACAAGACAATGTTTTGGCCAGGCATGCCTGTAATCCTTTTAGGATTGGGGAGGCCAAGGTGGGCAGATTACTTGAGGTCAGGAGTTCAAGACCAGCCTGGCCAACATGGCAAAACTCCGTCTCTACTAAAAATACAAGAATGAGCCAGGAGTGGTGGCACATGCCTGTAACCCCAGCTACTCAGGAGGCTGAGGCATGAGAATCACTTGAATCTGGGAGGTGGAGGTTGCAGTGACCTGAGATCACACCACTGCACTCCAACCTAAGCAACAGAGTAAGACTATCTCAAAATAAATAAATAAATAAAAATAATATTTTAAAAAATTCCTAAGGGGATTAAGGGATGTTTTAGAATGAGATCTATAAGTCAAAAAGGGAGAGAATATGTTGCTCTACAGAAACACAGTTTTGTATACAAAAACTGAACATAACCTCAGACTATCATTTGAATTGGGCTTAACATAAAGTTTAATCTCTGCTAACAATACAGGCAATTTTTCTCTATGTATCCCATGAAATTGATTCTGCCAGGAAAGTATTTAGTTGACTGGAACAGACCTGAAGAGGAGATTGACGTAACTTCCTCTTATGGAAACAACACCAGCACATAATTAATTGTCAAGGAAAAATAATCCTTTGAAAGAGGGTTGCACTTCACCTTTCATTTGTAGAGTTCGTCTAGAATATCGTTTGCTGGGCCTTCTTTCAAAGGATGTTGATCTTCTTGCTTTATTGGTTTTTGTGGTCTGATACTCTGTTTTCCCACTAAATGAGGCATAACAGAAGGGACATTTTAGGTCTACAGTAATAAAGCAAACACAAATAAGACAGTCTACCTTCAGGTTCTCCTTAAAAGAATCATCCTAAACTTCATCCCACAGGAACAACTACTAATAGTCTTGATCTCTCTCTTTACCACATCATTCTTTCACTCTTTACGCTTTTGTGAACTATGCAACAGATTATGTTGGTTTTATTTTTCTTGTATGTATGCATATCACCTAAGTACACATTAAATAAGTTTGGAATATCTGTCCTTTTATGGAAACTCCCTCTCTTTCCCATCTACATTCCTCAGTGCAAAGTGTGTAATTAAAAGAATATTTTCAGTTACTTTTTCTAATTGTGATACACACTTTTCAGTGTAATTTTCCAGAAATGTTTTTTAAGACTATTGTCTTATTCTCCTTGACTTCCATTTAAATTCTGTTCAGAAAATGCCTCCTTATTTTAACATAAGTAGAACAGAATACTACTTCTATTAACTCCACACAATCAACCTGCCACATTATTGGAACAATCCATTCCTTCTGTAACTGATTTCCATGGCATGCAGAACACTCACAACCGATAATCCACTCTCCAGTAAACCAAAACATTTCTAACTCACGACAACAAACAAGCAGTCATGAGAATAATGAGCTTCAGGCTTATAAAGGACCACAAATGTTATCCAGACTAATATCTCATTCAGTGCAAGAAACCCTTTTCTATATGGTATCCAGTGTTGGGTAGAGAGTCCATAAAACTCTTGTTAAATAGATAAATTGGGAGTGGGTTAATATATAAAATAAACATCCAGAGGGATATAAAAGCCATTATACAATTACTGTTTTCCCATCTATTCGAGAAATTATAACCAATAACAATACCACTTTTTCTATTTCATTTTGGTCAATGGAAGACGCTGGCAAACCACTTTATTCCTCTCTACCTAATCTGTAAAAATGAAAAGGTTGGCCTAAATTTTTTGGACTGTATGCAATGAAAGATAGATAAAACAGCTATTAAAATTAACCTGTATCTAAATCGTGATCCTAGTCGAATAAATCCTGATCGATGAGAACTCTTTTGCACAGGGCCTCGAAGGCGGAAGAAGGCATGATGCTCCACAGCACATTTCCACAAATGTTTGCATGCTTTCGGATGATCCAGTCTAAAGACAAATGTATGCTCCTGTTCTTTGCCCTGAAAAAGAAAAGATATATAAAAGGATGATTACTAGTTCAAACAGTCCTATCTCCTATTTCTGAGATACAAACACATCCATGATTAAAGGATCTAGTGTGCTCCCTGAAATTCAGACACTCTTTATAGTATCGACATAAGGGCAGAGTTGAAATCAAGTTGTTCATTTTCTCAGCCAATACAAAATTATTCCTAAGAGTTATTCCCCTCTCCTTACATGATCTCATTTGTCAGAGAGACATAAAATGAGATTTCATCTGCCATTATTTGGGATAACTGTATAATTATAATTTGAGGGATCATATTAGATCTGGCAGTATATATCGACAGCCCTAAAAATGCTCACATTTTTGTCCTAGTAACCACACTACCAGGAGTCTAATTATAATAGTTAACATTCACATAGAAATTTTTCTAAGGATTTCACATAAATTATCTCAATAAGTAGATACTATCATTAGCCCCATTTCATAGATAAGGAAACTGGGGCTCAAAGAAATTAAGCCCAAAGTCACAAAGCTATTAAGAAAGAAAACCAGAAATGAACTTAACAATTAGCCTTGCTCCAGAATCTACACACACCTCTAACAACTAAGTCATACTGCCTCTCTGGGGAAAATTATTTCCTAAACATCAAAAGTTATATATGAAGATATATATTTCCTCAGTCTCATTTATAATAGTAGAACTTGGCACAAACCCTAAACGTCCAAAAAAAAGAGAAATGGTCAAGTAAATAGTGGCATATGTAAAAAATTACACAGAGGGATAAGTGAATAAATGATGAATGAATGAATGTGCTATTGTTTATTCATATTACACAACAGCATATATATGTTAGATCTACATAGGTACACATTTAGATAAAACAGGCAAGCTGCAAATATATATAATTATACAAGTTTTTAACAATTCTAATATGTGTTAATATTTGGAAAAAGTTACAAAATATATATGAGAAGAATACCCTCCAAAAATAGTGACCAGGTACCAGAAGAAAGGGGGTAGGTAGTCAGGGGGTTAGACTTTAGTTGGTATTATTTATTCATGTACATAATTGTATTTATCTGTTTCTAAAAGAGATCTAAAGCCCAATGTAAAAAATGTTAAATCTAGATCCTAAATAAGATGGTTATCTATTTTATAATTTTTGGTACTTTTCAGGTTATTTAAAGACACTATTAAGACAGTAAAGATGGATATGCTGATTACCCTGATTTGATAATTACACATTGTATACTTGTATCAAAACATCACTCTGTATACAATAAATATGTACAATTATTACATGTCATCTAAAAATAAAAGTAATGGAAAAAGGGTAAGCCAAGGAGCAGACGATACTTGCAACACTAATACCTGACAAAGAACTAATATCCAGAACATATAAATAATTTTTTCAATGAATTAAAGGCACATGACCTAATAGAAAAATGAGCAAAAGATTTGAGTAGGCATTTCATAAAAGTAAGTAAGTACTAAACCAGAGTCATCATTAGGGGAACACAAACTAAAGCCACATTCTACTCCACAAGAATGGCTAAAATGAGAAAGACAGAATTCCGGGGAAAAAAAAAAACACACCAATAACATTGCTGGTGGGAGTATACACACGTATTAAATACTTTGGAAAGAGGTTTGGTTAAATACACACACACACCTTAGTGTCCACAGCAGCACTCTTTTTTTGTTTTTTAACTTTTATTTTCGGTTTGGGGTACAAGAGATGGTTTGTTACACAGGTAAACACATGTCATGGTGGTTTGCTGTACATGTTATTTCATCACCCAGGTATTAAGCCCAGTTATCTCTCAGTTCTACTCTTCTCCCTCCTCCCACCCTCCCCACTCAAGTAGACCCCAGTGTCTATTGTTGCCTTCTTTGTGTCCATAATTTCTTATCATTTAGCTCCAACTTGTAAGTAAGAACATGTAGTATTTGGTTTTCTGTTCTTGCATTACTTTGCTAAGGATAATATCCTCCAGCTCCATCCATGTTCCCGCAGAAAAGATCTCATTCTTTTTTATGGCTGCATGGTATTCCATTGTGCGTTTAAAATGGGAAAAATATGGCAGTGAAATTACCGAGGAGAGGAAAATGAAAGAACTGGATTTTAAAAAAATCTTTTCTTCATCTCCGAGAAAACACCAAATGGTGGATGACGCCAGTGCAACGGGGGAACCCGGAGGCCCTGGTGGCCCTGGGATGGGGAACCGCTGTGGCTTCCGCGGAGGTTTCAGCAGTGGCATCCGGGGCTGGGGCCGGGGCCGAGGCCACGGAGCTCATGGAGGCAAGGCCGAGGATAAGGAGTGGATGCCAGTCACCAAGCTGGGCCGCTTGGTCAAGGACATGAAGATCAAGTCCCTGGGGGAGATCTACCTCTTCTCCCTGCCCATTAAGGAATCTGAGATCACTGACTTTTTCTTGGCGGCCTCCCTCAAAGACGAGGTTTTGAAGATGATGCCGGTGCAGAAGCAGACCCGTGCTGGCCAGCGCACCAGGTTCAAGGCATTTGTTGCTATCGGGGACTACAATGGCCACGTCGGTCTGGGTGTTAAGTGCTCCAAGGAGGTGGCCACCGCCATCCGTAGGGCCATCATCCTGGCCAAACTCTCCATTGTCCCCGTGCGCAGAGGCTACTGGGGGAACAAGATCAGCAACCCCACACTGTCCCTTGCAAGGCGACAGGCCGCTGCGGCTCTGTGCTGGTGCGCCTCATCCCTGCACCCAGGGGCACTGGCATCCTCTCAGCGCCTGTGCCCAAGAAGCTGCTTATCATGGCTGGCATCGATGACTGCTACACCTCAGCCCGGGGCTGCACTGCCACCCTGGGCAACTTCGCCAAGGCCACCTTTGATGCCATCTCTAAGACCTACAGCTACCTGACCCCTGACCTCTGGAAGGGGACTCTATTTACCAAGTCTCCCTATCAGGAATTCACTGACCACCTTGTCAAGACCCGCACCAGAGTCTCCGTGCAGCGGACCCAGGCTGCAGCTGTGGCTACAACACAGGGTTTTTATACAAGAAAAATAAAGTGAATTAAGCCTGAAAAAAAAAAATCTTTCCGTTATAAAAATGTTTAAACATACAGAAAAACTGAATACCCATATACAGTGTCTAGATTCAACTGTTAATATTTTGCTGAAATTGCTTTTATCTATATCTGTATGCATATGTTAAAATTTATTAATTTGCATAAAGTAAAATTCTTCTTGCCTTTTCTAAAGTATCATATAAATGGAAGCATTCAATACATAATTTTTTTAATCTGGTTTCTTGCATTAAGATGTGCATTAATACATGCATGTGACTTGCATCCATGCATGTATCAATTAAGAACCACACTGTAACTGATACAATGGTAATCTTTAATTCAAAAGGCTTTATTATTAATATTATTAGGTAGATCTTTTTGATCAGTTAATAAATAGATAAAGTTGGTTTGCCACAGTGGCTTACTCCTGTAATCTCAACATGTTGAGAAGCCAAGATGGGAGGATTACTTAAAGCCAGAGTTTGAGAGCAACCTTGGCAACATACTGAGATCCCTGCCTCTACAAATAAATGAAAAAATTAGCCGGGCGTGGTGGCATGTGCCTGCAGTCCCAGCTACTCAGGAGGCTGAGGTGGGAGGATCACTTACTTGAGCCTAGAGGGCCAAGGTTGCAGTGAGCTATGATAGTGCCACTGCACTCCAGCCTGGGTGAATGAGAGAGACCCTGTCTTTAAAAAAATTTAAAAAAAAAAAAGTCACTTAAATGTAATTTTTTATGTACCTCAGATATATTATCAATGAAGAAACAAGAGAGACTTTTATATTATTTTTCATCCTAAGGGCAGAAAACCATATTTTTAGGATGGTATGACCCAAGTAAGGAAATTATTTAAAGCATTAGTTATACTGTTTCCATTCTGTGGCTCTATAAAACAATGAGGTACATTCCCTCTTTTAGGGAAATAAGTTACCACATAATACAGTCACTGTAAAACAAGTAATATAATTTCATTCCTACCTGATCATCATCTTCTACAACCACCAAGGTTAATTTATTCTTCTTAAAATCCAATCTGGTTATCTTCGGCCTATAATATAATAAGAGCATAAAAGCCAAATTACAAATAAATGTTCTCTAAATATGAAAAAAATTGTTTTTACTTCATATACATTTAACCATCTAACTCCTGAATTAAAAATTGACAGAAGGGTAAACGTAATTTGCAATACCCATCAAAAGACAGGAAACAGAAAAACAGTACATATTTCAAAAATGACATCTCTGACAAAATTGAGGCTGCACATATCAGACATTAAAAATATTAAGGAAAAAGAAACCAAGAAATCTATGTATTTGATAGGTCTCAATTATGGTGTAAAAGATTCTTTAAGTCTAAGTAAAATTGTTTCAGTGTTAAAGCAGAGCAGCAACACAGGAACTAGACATAGGAATGAACATAAAGCTTCCAAAAAAGCCACAAAGAAAAACACTGATGATGGTTTCCAATTCTTTTCCTTTTGTTTGCTTGAGATAGGTTCTCACTCCATCGCACAGGGTGGACTCCGTCGCACAGGGTGGAGTGCAGTAGTGTGTTCATAGATCACTGCAGCTGTGAACTCCCAGGCTCCAGTAATCCTCCTGCCTCAGCCTTACTCCCACACCACACCAGGTTAATTTTTGTATTCTTTGTAGAGACAGCATCTCGCTACGTTGCCCAGGCTGGTCTCGAATTTCTGGGCTCAAGTGATCCTCCCACCCTGGTCTCCCAAAGTGTTGGAAGTCTTCTCACAGACGTGAGTCACTGCAACCAGCCTCAACTCTGTTTTCAACAGGAATTTTGTTTTGAGGAAATACATCTTAATTTTTTTAACCTCGCTTTATGGCCCACTTTCCAACTGTATCCCCCAACTTGTAAATTCCAAACCACATTCGAACCTGTATTTCCATAAATTGTGGATGTCGAAACAATGTGACACTCACTCCCATTGACCAATCTTTAAATAAAACATATAAAATAGATGTAAAATATAACTTCTTTGCAAGAGCTTTACTAAAAAACTAACAATAAATAAATAATAGCAGGAGAAGGAGAGCAAACAGAATCTCGCTCTGTCACCCAGGCTGGAGTGCAGTGGTGTGATCTCGGCTCACTACAACCTCCACCTCCCAGGTTCAAGCAATTCTCCTGCCTCAGCCTTCAGAGTAGCTGGGATTACAGGCATGCGCCACCATGCCATGCCTGGTTAATCTTTGTATTTTCAGTAGAGACAGGGTTTCACCATGTTGGCCAGGCTGGTCTCGAACTCCTGACCTCAAGTGAGCCCCCGCCTTGGCGGGGATTACAGGAGTGAGCCATCTGGCCTGCCCTAAGAATTCTTCTAAGTGCTTTACAAGTATTAATTAACTCTCAAGACAACCTTATGAAAAGGTACAAAAGGCGCTTTCTTTATCTCTCTGCCTAACCCATTCTTAAGGCCTGGAAGCAAGTTCCATTTGCCCACAGGACAAGCTGGAGGCATGAGGTGATTTAACACCCAAGAAATGAGAAGATTATTGCCCGCGGTTCCTCACCCGTCAAGGGACAACTGTAAAGGTGTTCAACTGAAGTCTCTCAGAGTCCCTAGCAAGAACACCCAGATGCAAAACTAAATGAAATACTACCTTCAATTTTTTGAGGGAAATAATTTTCAACCTAAAATTCAATTCTCAGCCTAATTATCAAGAAAGAATGAAAGACAAAATATCATTTTAAGGCATTTAAGGATTCAAACAAATTACTTTTCTTAGGCAGTTACTTCCTTTACTTAGGCAGTTGGCGGGGGTGGAGGGGACGAAGAAAAAGGAAACCATGGGAGGACACACAGGATCCTAGCTGAGAACACGGGAAAGGGAAGTCTCAAGATAAAAAATGGAGAGCAACCTGAGCAGCAAACAGTTCCAAGGGGAACAGAAGAACCATTTAATGCAACCCTTCATAACTTAAAAAAAGCTTGAGGAGAAGACAAAGGCAGGTAATTTAAAGGGATATGTGGGGTATGTGAGAGAGGGAAGCCAAAAGCTCTAGAACAAAAACAAAAAGTTAAACAGAAAGGAAATGTAATACCAGTTGTGAGTTCCAAGACTTCAGAGCTGATCAAGAAAAAGTACTGCATAACAGGCTTTATTGAGCAGTGTTTGGAAAGGGTTGCATGATAGGGGTGGTCCTTCAATAGCAGGTGACCTTCCAGAGACAGCAGCTGCAAGGCTACCAGCAGATGGGGAAGACGGCAAGGAAACTCAGTCAAGAGGGGAATCTGAGAGGGGGCCTAAGTGCCTAGGGGATGGCATTCAGCAGTTAAGTGTGAGGGATCAAAGTCAGAGAACTCAAAAGGCAGCCATGGTTTTGGGGTCCTTTAACCTACAGAGCTTGCCTTATCTATGGCCAGCAAATGTTAGGGTGCAGTTTCATGGGATATATAAAGCAGAAATGGCTAAAAATAGACTTAGTGGGCTATGTTTAAAGTAACTGGATGTGTCAGAATTTGAGTTTGATACCAAAGGTCTTTGCGCCAATAGTCCCTGTCTAGTGTACACAAGTATACACCTAAGCTCTGTACTAGTTCTGACAGACACATCTTATTGTAAGCACAACTGATTCTCAGCTTTTAGAATACCAGACAAAACCTGGTGGACTCAATTATGGCCAAGAAATCCAAGTAAAATCTATCCTTGATGTAAAAGTAAAACGTAAATGTAATTTACAAGTATGAACAATAAAAGCTGGAACAGTATAAGGAGCATAGCTTAGAGAAGGGATAAAAATATTAACATCTTCCTCTTACACAATAGGGAGTAAAGGGATTGTGGAATAATAAATATTAAAAGCATAACTACATGAAGGAAGAAAGTGCCCATGAGAACATCTGATACATATAAAAATATAAATATTTATATCAAGATAGATATTGTGGTATACTTTGAAACTAATGGGAAATACAGCTAGAAGAATTTTAATAATTGCCTCTGGAGAGTGGGAAAAATGATGCATAGTAGTGTGATAGGAGACAGCTGCTTTCACTGACAAGTTTTTCAAAACTATTTGATTTCCAAACTCTAGTTTATGTATTAACTTTATATAAATGGTTTTACTCATTAAAAACCAAAACAATAGTACGTATCTTCGACAATAACTCTTGCTTACCAAAAAAATAAGCCAATTTTGGTATCTCCTTCAAAAACAAGGACTCCTGTTGGTGTTAGTCCCAAACTATAGTCATTCCCATCTCTAGCCTAATTTAAGGGGAGAAAAATGTGTTAACTTTATTTGTACAAAACAGGTTTCACATTTTGACATAACTTTTAAATTTTATTTTTGTATTGAATTGTATTAATTATATACAGGCTAATATTGATATATGAGATGTTTTCAACAATTAGAGTATCCATAATAACATTCTCAGAAAAATTTATGCATATATTTTTATTTCTAGTCAGGGAAACACTAAAGTTTTAGAGTGTACCTTCATTGAAAGTGGGTAGTTACACTCCCACTACAAACAAAGCTGTTTCCACATTCTTCCCATATTGTACTTACCACTTAAATCATGTATTTTGGGAAGGACTGCTGATATGGTTTGGCTCTGTGTCTACACCCAAATCTTGTGTCAAACTGTAATCCCCAGTATCGGAGGAGGGGTCTAGTAGGAGGTGACTGAATCATGGACTTCCCCCTTGCTGTTCTCATGAGAGTGAATGAGTTCTCACGAGATCTGGTTGTCTGAAAGTGTGTAGCACCTCCCTCTTTGCTCTCTCTCTCTCTCCTGCCAGCCATGTAAAGATGTGCCTGTTTGCCCTTCACGTTCCCCCATGATTATAAGTTTCCTGAGGCCTCCTGAGAGGCCTGTACAGCCTGCAAAACCATGAGCCAATTAAACCTCTTTATAAATTTATGTCTTTATAGCAGTGTGAGAACGAACTAATACAACTGCCTTTCTGGAAAACTGTCACTAGTTAAACTAGAAATAAATCACTACAAAGCTGTTCTAAAGTTTATCAAAGTCCTTAAGCTATACATCTTCAACTTTGCATCCTGAATTATTTTAACAGAGCCTACTCAGTGTTAGTCATATAATAGGAAGTAAAAAGGGTAACACATGGCTCAAAAGCTTAAAACAATTTTTTATAACAATAAATAAATAAATAAATAAATAACAGCTTAAAAGGACCAAGTACCTTGTTGGGATTTTGGTTGCTTCTCCTCTTTCTTATAATGAACGTTTCTGTGACATTCTAGTCGTTCGGTATTTAATCTCAAACTTTTTAACCATACATCCAAAGTACCCAGTGCTAGCTTATGCCAACTCCATGCCCTTCCTCATACTGAAAAATGCCACAGTCATTGCAAACCTCCAAAGAATAAATTTTTTAAAAAGCATCACAACACAATGCTTACCTTGACCACATGCATATCAACCCCATACATTTCTAGCCATTTGGCTTTATTCAGATAATTGGTTTCAGCCTGTGCTGGTGTTTGACCTCTGAAATTTAAAACAATGATTTTTAAAGTAACAATAAATATAAAATAAATTCTATACCAAGGATAGAAATAGAGGAAAATGAATATGAAATAACTGTTGTGGTGATTTTAAAGAAAGTATGGTCAAATGCCAGATACCTGTATTCCTTCCATTTCTCAAAAATAGCCAGTTCCATCTCTTCAGTCTGAATAGGCACGAACCTGAACTCAGAGACAAGTTCAGGACTATGCTCAGCAAGATCATAGTCACCAAGTTCAGCTATAAACATAAGTTTCAAAAGTTATATGTATTTCCTGCTAAATCCTTTAAAAACCATTTCATTAATGAAAACTGCTAAGACTAGATTCTTAGGAATTTCTTGCAAAAATTCATAATACTCAGACAAGTCTCCAAAAGTAAAGCTAGCCTATCAGTCATACACATATATCTCATATTTATTGTTGGTAGTGTATTTTTAATTACATATCTTTCTCTTAATGTATTCACACCTCAGTGCTTAGCCTTTGAAAACTGCTTTCTAGACTTCCATAAAGAAATACCTCTGACCTCACAGTGAACAACTGAAAAAATTTAATAATCGTTAAAAGACAATTAACTGGGATCTATTAAGACTATTACTAAGGCTGGGTATAGTGCTTCATGCTTATAGTCACAGTACTTTGGGGGCTGAGGTGGGAAGATCGTTTCAGGCCAGCCTAGACAACATAGCAAGACCTTGTCTCTTAAAAAAAAAAGTACAAAAATTAGCCAGGCATGATGGCCTGTAGACCCAGGTACTCAGGCAGAAGATCGTTTGAGCCCAGTTGTTCAAGGCTTCAGAGATCATGCAACCGCACTCTAGCCTGGGGAAAAGAGTGAGACCCTGTCTGAAAAAAAATAGAACAAAAGAATATACTGATTACATAGAATATGACCCCACATACCAATCTAAATATAGTCCCTGTCTTCCAAAATTTTAAAATTATTAATCCTAAAGAAATAACTGAAAGGAACTTAAAAAAACCGGGGGTAGGAAGCAGCAGGGAAAAATCTGAACAATGCACAAACATGTATGTACTCATCTGTGGCTATTTCTGAACAAAATGTACGTTTGGAGTGAAAGGACTGCTAAGCTATATGGCTTCAGCAACAATTTACTCATATATAATTGCATTTCTTTTAAGGAAAAAGTTTGCTAAAGGCCCAATCATAACATTCACAGACTTATCAGGTAGACTACGACGTTTCAATACTTTAGGTGGAAAGGGAGCAATTACATGAAAGAGAAGAAAAAGAAGGCAATGTTCTAAAACAAGTAAAAGTCAGGGTTAGACACTGATACAAGTTTATAC